AGGTTAAAGTTACTGCAGTGGTGAAATTCTTATGTGTGTACTTTTATTCATCCCACACCTCTGGGATGTAAGTGGATGTAGGATTCATTCTTCATTTCCCATGAACAAATGTGAGCCGCATTGCCGTGTGCTTTGCATTGGAATATTGTTTTGTAAAAATTCAGTTGAAATTCTGAGCGATTCTATTCTTCTGTCTGTAATGTCTAAACTATTTCAGGATGCTTTAGTCTAAACTTTCCTCTATAAATATGATTCAGTAGTATAGTGTGCAGTTTGTAAAACATTATATTATAATTTTATTTCCCATCTAATAAGCACTGGCAGTTTTCAAGTTTAGCTTATGGTTATTCATGAGACATGAGAGCTGCATGTCCTTGGTACCATTTATCATCTCAAAGATGAGCAGAATTTGCCACATAAGCAAAGAGTGGTCTGTTGGATAGCAACTTAAATTGGGTTTTTCAGGTCAGTGTTATCAAATTACATCAAAGTTGTAAACTGCTTTACAAAACATTTTATGTAACAATTTTGAAAGCCTGTGTGACAGTTTTTCTAATTTACTTTTTTAGCCTAGTTTCGGAGTAACATTAGCTGTTTCATCACTTTTAGGCTATTTTGAGTATTCTTTGTTGCACCGTCAATAAAACAAGAATTTGTAGGGTTCCTTAATCATACAGATTACTCATTGCCTGCTCATAACAGAAGCCTGAAATGCTCATTAGAATTATCTGATGTGAATCAAAAGTTAGTATAGTTGCAGAATTAAATGACGAGAGAATGGTATTATATTAGCAAAAAAATAATTCTTGAATATCTGTTTCAGTGAAACTGAAACCAGGTTTATATATAGATCAAGTGCTCTGAAGTTGTGTAATATGGAAGCTAAAAATAGGCGTCTGGATTGGTCTGAAAGGATTGGCGATCATGCCTAAAATGTAATCATAGAATGGCCTAGGCTGGAAGGGACCTTAGAGATCATTTAATCCAACCGCCCTGTCATGGGCAGGGGCGCCTCAACTAGTTCAGGCAACACATGGGGACCGAACGGGAATCGAACCCACAACCTTGGTGTTATCAGCATCATGTTCTAACCAATTGAGCTAACCAGTAATAAGGTGGGGGGGTTGTTTACAGCAAGCTACAGGAACTTGCTACATGTTCTTGCCTAGTCTGTTAGCCTATTTTTAAAACTGCCTAATTTTAAATCGTTGTTCCAACTTGATCCTCTGTTTTTTGCCTTGTACCTCCCCATCAAAACAATAAAAAAGGCCATCTCCCTGTCTTCAGCAACCTGTTTGATTCCCACAGGCAGTTGTTATGCTATGCCACCTGAAACACTGAGGCCCATATTCTCATCTCTCCAAGCCTTTTTTTTCACCAGTACAATTCTGATACTTCCATTGGAGTTGCATGTTGATGCTAACATAACTGCAAGAAGAATCATGTCATGGTCTAGTCACTCCTAAAACAAGAATATGTATGGTTGAACATAGTTCTTGAAAATGTTTCTGAGCTCAGAGCTATTAGCAGATGTCTGCTGCAATGTCGCAATTGTTAATCTTTGTCTAAAAATATATTAGCTTTTTGTGGAAACAAATTCTATGTAGAATAAGCCATAATCTCTGAAAAACACCCTAAGGAAAGAAAATTAACTTAGACTTGATACCATTTTCATACTGCAGAATTTAAATGAGAAGACAGTGTGAGCTAGTGGATTGAGCTGATCTCTCCTTTTGGTTTTGCCACTGGCTTGTTGGCTGACCTGAGGCACAAAAAGGCAAAATGACTTGCCTAAGCTTCACACCCACAAAACAGGAATAATGATGTTCTGCCTTTTAAAACGTAGTGAGATCTGTGGATGAAGGGAATTATACAATACCTGCTGTTATGATTTCTTACCAAGGCTGTGTGAAACTATTCTTTACTGAATGGCACTTAATTTTAGAAGTGTGCATGCAGTACCCTGGCACTGGCTGAATAGGAGCTTCCTCAGCTGAGTTTCGTGACCTTTCATCCTCTGGCCCACAACTACCACTGCTTCAGCGGCTAGTGGTGAAAATAGCAATAAATTTTAGGTGTTACCATTAATACACATTATTTATTGTCCTGTTTTGAGAGCACCACGATAAGTGTTCTCTGGGGCTCCTGGCACAGGGGGCAATCACAGGGGGAAGGGGGGCAGCTGTGCCTGTGGGGAGGAGAGCGTGGGTCAGGCGACCCAAATGGACCCATCCCAGCTGTCCTTCCCATGGTGCTCAGTATACAAGGGCCTGCTGTCCTGGGAGGGTTGTTTTGGGCTGTTTGTCATCTCTTTCAGTGCTGCTGCTGTTCATGCCTCCTGTTTTAGCACTGCAGGGCAGCATCTCTAGTTGGAACAGGTTGTCTTCTCAGAGTGGGAGTGGCACAGCTCCTTTCTGGTTGTTTTGGACTCTCAGTGGGATGCTGGACTCGGGTGTTTTTGTCTGCTGCTGAGTCTGGTTTGGGACTTTTTCTTCCTGCTGGGCATCTTGTCATCCAGAAGGCATGGATTCTGTATTAACATATTCTCTTGTATCTTTGAGCTTATTGCATACTTGTATTATAGAGATATATATATATATTTTAACATCTTCATTGTTGTTACTGTTATTCTTAATTTATTTTTTTTCATTAAGTTGGATCAAGTTTTTTTCAACTTCAAAGTCTCTCTCTCTGGCTCACTTGTTATCCCCTGCCTTGGAGGGGGGTGGGGGCATTTCAGAGAGCATCTGTCAGAGTTTAGTGGCTGGCTCAGCATGAAAATTTTACACTTATCTACACTCGTTACACATTGTTCCCTGAAACTTCCATTACTCATTGTTGTAAACAACCTGCCAGATGCTGCTATGGGCAAACAGTTTTAACTTAGCAACCCTTTCTGTATAGATTATGATACCTACAGGTATCATTCTAAAAAGCTGTTGTATTTTTATTCAAAATGCTTTAAACATTTCCCAGCAGAATGTTCTCAGCTCTACCTCTCTGGAAGCAAAGTGAGCGGCATTAGCTGTATGTGCAAGACTTCTGGGGTTTCTCTGCCGTCACTCCACAAAATAAACCTTCTGGCTTACATTAAAGTTTAGGGTGCTCTATTAGTGAATGTCCCTACTTAGAGTCTGCATCCCTACCTGCTGGAAATTTTTAACTATTGATGAAGCACAAAACCATAAAAACTCCTTCAAAACATAAATCTTAGTTTCTGGTAGTTCAGGACTTGTTTAGCTTTGGTAGTTTAATTTTTGGTCTTCTTGATTTCCTAACGATCCAAAACCTTTATACTGATGGATGCTAGAATTGAAAATTAGTGGGAAAATAAAAATTGCTTTTTGCTGCAAATTTAGTGAGATAGGTGTTGGTCTCTCCTCTCAAGTAACTAGCAATAGGATGACCTCAAGTTACACCAGGGGAGGTTTAGATTCAATATCAGGAAAAAATTCTTTACTGAAAGAGTGCTGAAGCATTGGAACAGGCTACCCAGGGAAGTGATGGAGTCATCATCCCTGGGGGTGTTCAGAAAACATGTAGACATGGCACTTGGGGAAATGGTTTAGTGGTCACGGTGGTGTTGGGTTGGTGGCTGGACTTAATGATCTTACAAGGTTCTTTCTAACCTTAATGATTCTATGATTCGGTATGTCAGGCTGTGCTCTCTCATTAATTCTTGAAGATTTTGAAAACATCAGTATACCCCAGAAGCTGCAGCATAACCTCAGAGAAATATACATGTATCCATATCTTTTTCAAAAAGCACTCTGTAGTGATTTGCTAGTGTAGAAGCATGTCACCTTTGTTTCAGAGCCAGAGGGCTGACAATTTTGAAGTTGCTGTAAGATTTATTGGTAAAGTAATGTTATAAATTAACAAACAGAGCTTTACTCATTAGAGCAGGTTCCTCTGCATTCTTTCAGATTACCCTTCCCCATTCTCCCTTTCTTTCCGTCAGACTTTTGGAAACCCATGTGAGCTAACAGTCATGGTCTGCGTGGGTTTCTAGTACATCGTAGGAGGCCTTCCCTCCACGCAGGTTGTAAACTTGTTTGTAGCTTAAGAAATAGATGGAATTATGTTTTTAAACCTTAAGCCTCTGGAATGTATGGCTTGAGGAGGCAGAAATTCTGGTGATGTGAGTGTTGTAAACGAAGCATTGAGGTATGTATTTTAATAGAAGTGGCAAAAGTAAGCTAGCCTTTTGCATTAGGAGAAATTCTTCCACATAGTCTTGGTGGTGTCTTTTCTTCCTTTCAACTTCTGCTGAAGATAGCAAAGCATCTGGTAGGTTTGACAAATTTGCAGTTTTGTTTTGTTTTTTCCAAAATGGAAATTAAACCAGAATACACTCCTGATGGGTCTCTGCTTGTATTAGTGCATCTGGTTCTGGGCATCCATCCGCAGAAGGATGTAAATGTAATTGGACTGCATTCAAGAAACAACAAAATGCCGAGAAGTTGTAAAGCCTGATTTCTAAGAGAAAAATGTAAAAAAGAAAATTAAATATATACAGCATGCTTGAATGACAGCAGAGGGGAGGAAGGTTTTGATAATGATCTACAAGTTTGAGGTGTATGAACACCAACAAAGTAAAAAAAAAACCCTACTTAAGGTGGTTCAAGAAGGTATAATTAGATGTAATGAAATTAAATGAACAATATTTGAAATTGAGCTGAATGTTATGGTAAAACAACAGGAACAGTGAGACCTATAGATTTATTATTTATCCGTATTGAGTTAGCACCGGGGAATCCCAGTCAGAGATCAGGTGCTACTTTTCCTGTAGAAACATGAACAAAAGAAATGCAATCCCTCTCTTGAGTAATAAATGAGAAGCTTGACTGTGTGGCATGTAAGGAATAAGTGTAGATAGTGGGATTTAGAGTAGAGAACCTAAAAGGTCTTTTGAGTCTTTTTTGGTCTTACTCTGGCTTTCAGACCACTTAGGATTATAAGAATGTTACTCTTATTTTGAAGGTGCTTGTTATTTTCAGTCACTAATGTATCTAAATATTGCATTAAATTGGAATAGCCTTACTACGCGATTGCCAAGAGCTGGAGAAACTATCCTTGGACATAAGTTTTTCGTTGGTTTTGGTGGGAAAGGAGCCAATCAGTGTGTCCAGTCTGCTCGACTTGGGGCCAAGACTTCTCTGATCTGCAAGGTAAGCACTGATTTTCTCTTGGATTACAGCTGAACTAAATGTTCATGCAAATTCCAGTAAATCTTTAGGTGGCTTGTTGTTTTGTTTTTTTTTTTAATGTCTCTCTAATTCCCTTTTCTTTTTGTTATTTTAGCTATAAAGTTAAACATGAAGGAGGCTGTTTTACGAACACTGCCAGAACCAAGGACTAGTTGGCTAGAGTTCTGGCAGAAATTGCATATAAAGAAGGATTGCAAAACTTGAATTGATGTACCATGGAAAAAAGGATTGGTGTGAAGTTGAGATGTTCAAAATTGAAGTAATCTTGATTAGCCCCTCCTCTTTATGTACTCCACTGTTACAATGATCAAGGCTTTATTGATAACATGCAGATGCTAGGTACTATAGTCAGTCTGAAATTTACTTTGCAGATGATTAAAATTCAGACACTGACAAGTCAGTAGCAAATTTGAGAAGGTATATAGAACTTTTTGGTTCAAGGGTTAAATCATTAGTTGATTACCTGAGATTATGATGAGATGTTCGCATCCAAATTCTGGAACCTTTGCATGCAATGGGATTTTTTTTGCCTACTTTTCTGAAACAACTGATGTAGAGCAGTTCTAAAGATTTTTGGTTTTAAGTTTTGAGTAATCATTACAAATTTTCTCCCTCTGTAGCTTTAGTCTCTGTCCTGTGCTAACTGTAGATGCAACTTCAACTTCACTGGACATCCTTTGTTGCTACAGCTGAGTAAGATGCTAATTTGATGGATCATTTTTGGGAAGTACCAGAAATGTCTCAAGGAAGCCTTTCTCACTTGTTTTCCAATACAATTTGTAGGTTACAGAATGATAGCTATAAATCTAAAGTACACCTGCAAACAGTTCTGTGGGCCATTATCACTAATTCTACAGCATGCATTTCTTTTTTTTTGGTATTGGCAATGTTTGTTCTTCTGTAATACTGTGTATATTTGATCATCTTTGCATTCAAGAATGATCAGATTCGAGTACAAGATGAACTGGCAATGAATTCCTTGGTAACATTTCCTGCTAAATGTTAAAGAGTTTTTTTTCCACTGAGAGTGTGAATTTTCTTTTATTTTTTAATGGTCTAACCTTTGCTCAATGCATACATGTTTCTAGAAACATTTGGATTCCTAATACAATTTAGCAATTACTGTAATTTCTAATTACTTTCCAAAATCATGTTATTTCAGTAAAACTTAGTCGTCTTTCTTTCCTTCTGATGTGTATTTATACAAGAAAAGAAACAACAGAGAATGATTCTAATATCCGTAAATGTTAGCCTTTTGTATTTTAATTTTAAAAGTTAATATTTACTTTTTAAATTATAAATGCACTTTATGGCCTCACAAAATAGTTTCATGTCATAGCAGTAGTTTTACATCTGCAGAGGTCAATGGGATGTAGTATAAAGTTTCTTGCTGAGTAAGCTAAGAATCAGGCAATAATGAACCATTACCGTTCAATTATTTTTACTTTAACAAGGCATCTCAGTATTCAGTGGTTCTTAAAGCCAGATTGTCCTTCACACCCACACACTCTGTGCTCAGTAAATGCTTATGTTTTGATCATAATTCCCAACATTTTTTATCAAGTAAACGTGCAACAATTGCTTCTTCAATCTGAAATTCAGGGAATGAAACCAGTTAGAGGGACATGCTGCTGGAGCGTGGCATCATCTTACCACAGCTATAATTTAGACAGGGGATGTCCTCAGGAAGAGTAGAGGTAGACATCTTGGATCAAGTGGCAAGGCATTCTTCACACCGCACAGCTTTAAAACACAAAGGAAAGCCAGTGGCTATGAGGGTTTGAGAGTTTTAGAATAACTTACAGTTGTGATTAGAGATGCCATAGAGTTTTGTGGATTTAAATTTAAAATCAGAGTCATGGGAAAATGCAAACAGTGTTGTCCTTTCTGCCTGGGTGTCTCTGCAAGTGGCCACTGTTACTCTGGGTTATCAATATGTTTCACAGTATCAGTCTTAAACTACCTTCCTCGGTTTGCTCAGTACAGTAAAACCATATATTGATGGAATCGTTGTCACTTGAAAAAGACAAGAAAGACAATTTTTCAGAGAAGTGTGAAGGATTACTGTCAGAGAACTAAAGGATCTAAACAGATAAATTAATTGCTAATGTTCATACAAGAAACCTGTTGCAGTACTAAAAAATGCACAATGGTCTTGAACGATGCCAAACTCCCCAAACTATTTTTTTATTTTTTTTTAATAATGGCCATTACAAAAAAAAATTGTTAAACATACTAAATTAAGATAGTGGAAGAATGTTGGTCTAAAAGACATTTTATGTGCTGAAAAAAAGTACTGGTTTATTTCTGACAAGCAATTTGGAAGATCCTCACTGGGCACTGATGTCACTGGACTGGTATTACATATATTAGATTCTTCTTAAGCCCCACCTGTATTTGATTCCTACTTAGAAATAGGAAGTGATGTATTACTATGCTATGTAGTTCTCTCTCTTTAGATGAACTGTAAGCCAAACTTAAGTGTTGTAAGCCTGACTCCTCACTTCGTTGTAAGAGCTAGCTGTATCTCAAATGCAGCCAGGAATATGATAATATCTTAATTTGGCTTTTTTCCTTTTTTATTACTATCTTAGACTTGCCTTTAGTACCTGTTCCATTCTCTAATGAAGAAAAAGCATAAACACTCTCAGAACAAAGAGCGTGGGGAATAGATTAAACAATTACCAAGAGGTACATGGTTTTGCTGTAATTAATTTTCAGGTACAGATGAGTTTGATTCTCTAAGCTGCAAGAATTTTAGCTGCTATGACGACAGTCAGCTCCATTAGTTCCACGTGGAAAACATGATAGTAAGCAGGGAAAACCCAGATTGAAAAATACTGATTCCACTCATTCTAATACGCAAACTGTGTGACCATAATGCTTGTACAAACAGCTATTGTTTTTAAGAACTCAAGAAAGAAGAAATGCTATTTCAGCACATATGATGTTCTGTGGTCAGCAGACTAAGACATTTTTCTGTTTACTCAATGGTCAATCTAGCAGGGTCTGTGCAAAAGCAGAAAATACTAAAACGAGTGTTATATAATTTGAGATGGTCAGTAAATATGTCTTTAATCTAAAACAAGTCTGATGCTCAATACTCTATCTTCCTTGGGGGTAAAGCCTGAATGGAAAGATAAGCCTTTCAAACGCACTAGGATTAACTGGTTTGGATGCAGATGAACTAATATGGAAAAAAGTTTCCAGAGGAAAAGGACCTCCATGGAGACCTCCAAGGGCTTCCCTCCAGCGCCGAGATGTTTCGCTGTGAGCAAAAGTACCGCGGCTGATCTCAGTTGTTGTGACAGTTGAACAATAAGGGACGCCTGTCGGTCAGTTATGCAGGACCCAGAGCTGAAGGAAGGAAGTTTCAGATGAGCTTTTGGAAAATGGTTATGAAATATTTTGTTGTTGAAATAACTGAGCAAATCCTGAGATTTGTTGTCGAAGCTTTGTAGCAGCGAGAGAGGGAGGAGGTGATACCATCAGGCAGAGCACGTTTCAGTAGTACAGCTATTGGTCTACGGAGGTGAGCACGACTCACGTTTAAATTGCAGGTGGCTACAGTCATCCAGCCTGAAGCAGTCAGAAGATGCCGTTTCTGACAACCCACCCTGTCTGGCAAGCTAGGAGTAGTCAGAGATACAGAAGTACTCTAATAGGCAAACAGTGAATAACACAATGACCAGACTAGATGATGTTGCTTGGTGTTTTTTCAATGTACTAGAGGATTATTCTGTCTGATTAGACTGTTTTGACCTAAGTTGCTGTCCACTGGTAAAAGATCGGGACTATACCTAATAGTGCTTTAGAAAAATCCCATATAGAAGTTGCAGGAAATGAAAGCATGTTTCCAAACATAATTGTGTAATAGAATATGGGGGGGAAGGATCATCCCTCTGTGACACTTTAAATTTAAGAATTCTGGATGACAGGGTTTGATTGTTGTGATGCCTAGCTAGTACTCAGGCCTTCTCTGAGCTTTTTAAAGGACTGAGCTCATGAACAAATTTCTAACAGCAGGCAATAGAGGCAGTTAGTTTGTGCTTCCAGTAACTCTAACATTGTTAGCTATTTAGTACTGTTTTATGAGAAGATAGATCCATTGGTTAGGGCTCCTTGTGTAATTCCTTCATTGTCTAGACCATGACCACTATCTTGATCTTGTCCTTCCAGTACCTGAAGGGGGCCTACTGGAAAGCTGGGGAGGGACTGCTTACAAGAATGTGTAGCAATAGCACTAGGGACAATGGTTTTAAACTAGAGAAGGGTAGATTTAGATTAGATATCGGGGCAAAGCTCTTTATTGTGAGCGTGGTGAAACACTGGCACGGGTTGCCCAGAGAGGTGGTGGAGGCCCATATCCCTGGAGACATTCAAGGTCAGGCTTGATGGGGGCTCTGAGCAACCTGATCCAGTTAAAGATACCCCTGCTCCCTACAGGGAGGTTGGACTAGATGACCTTTAAAGGTTCCTTCCAACCTAATGCATTCTGTGATTCTAATCTGAAAGATTTTTTTTTTCTTTGAAAAAATGCTTTCTGTAACTTTACTCAGATTCACAACTTAAGCTTGAAAGTGGGAGCACACACCACGCATGCTGAAGACGTCAGCTAAAAGTGGTGAATTAAAAGCAGTGTTGCCTTTATAAATATAATTTAAATGCTATTTTGACAATCTCCATATACCTCATCTCCTTTGTTCAGCTTGTGTAATGAAACAAAAAGAAACGATTATTAGACTGAATAAACAGCAAGCAGAATTCTGTTCAGCTAAAAGGATTAATGGAGCTGAAATTACAAGCTCTTTAACTTGCTGCTAGAAAAACAATAGAGCATAGCTTGACTCTCCAACTCAACTTGATCTGCTGTTGCTGGATAAAGCAAACAAAAAATGTAGAATTTGTAAACAGCTTATTTAGTACTGAGAACTATAGAACTCAGCAATGCCATGTTTATTGTCAGTTTTGTCACTCTCTATCCCATAACCACAGTTTGATACTTTTCCACCAAGGAATCTTGAAGTAGAAAATTCAAAATACAAACTTCAATTAAGGGCACCAGAGTTGCTATAAATGTTTTCAATTCAAAGCTGAATAATTCAACACACTTCCAGATTTTACAATACCCAGAAAACTTCAGTGTCAGGGGAACACAGTGATTTTAAGAGAGTGAAACTTGAATGTACCAACATGAGTATAACAGAGGAGTAGAAAAATGGAGAACACCATTTCTGTGGTTTATTAAAGCCATTAATACATTTTTAATGTTATTGGTTAGTTTGTTAGTTACTAAACAAGGTAAAGTGCTGCAAAGCAAAATGTTGCATTCAAGTTACATTAAAGTACTCTGAGGTCTAAAAGCAATCTATCCTCACACCTTTCTGCAGAGAAAAACCTATTCTTTTATCTTTTGCACAGGTTGGGAAGGATTCCTTTGGCAATGATTATGTTGAAAATTTGAAGAAGAATGGTATTTCTACAGGTAAAATTTTACTTTAACCTTTTGTATTATTTTTAAGGTTTAAAAATTGGTAGTGTAGGATTTCTTTTGCCTTATTGGGTGTGTTTTACCATTCAGAACTATGAAAAATTGTTTTGACACAGGTAGCAGGAA